GTATGTAACATAAGTTACGCTGATGTTATGCCGATATCGGCCATATAAGTACACACACTCACACAGATACACAGGACGGAAATAATTAATGAAACTGAGATAAAGGTGGAGGGTGAACAAACAAAGAGAAGCTCAGAGTAAACGGAGGCCGAGAAAAGAGAACGGGATGCAGGGCAGGAGCGTCTTAGCGTTTATTTCTCAGCTCCAGGAGCTGAAAGCGAAAGTCACAATCAAGAAAGACTGGTGTCTAGAAAAGATCTAAGATCTTTATACCGTTCACTAAATCCTGAATGCTTTTAATAAGCATGATCACAAAGGTAGTTCCTGAGAAATAAAGGGTGCCTCTTATAGGCTTTATAGTCTGTTTAACAGTGGTCTCTGACAGAGATGGTCATGTGAGATACAGTACATGTATGAATTCTCTTCAATGGCTTCTTCAGCTTCTCTCCTTAAGCTTAGCATAGTTTAAAGGGCTTTTAATGACAAATTGCACAATATACAGTGGGGTCCAAAAGTCTAAGACCACCAAAAATATTTTTTATTTTATTATTATTATAATTATTTTATTTCTATTTTGACATAAACTGACAATTTCAGGAGTAAAAAAAATGTAAACCAGGAAACGCTAAATGAAGCAGAAGTATTTAAGGTTCATTTCAGGATCGAAAAAAATGTAAACCAGGAAATGAAGCAAAAAATATTTAAGGTTGTACACAATTTTTAGGTCACTAAACAAAAGTAAAATTTGATCATGTGCACTTATTTCTACAAAAGATTTTCTTCCATTAAAGCCTAAGATGCTCTTTGAAACTTCCTCAAATCATGCTGGATTACATGGATCATCTGTAAAAAAAAATCTGGAGATGTTTTGGACAAACTGCGGAATTCTGTATGATGGATTTAATATAGTATTAATGTGTTTACCATATTTAAATCCATTAAAGCAGTGGTTCTCAACCAGGGTGCCTCAGCTAAACTTCCAAGGGGGTCTCAAGATGACTTAAAATTATTTCAAATAAGACAAAACTAACATCAAAACATGATAAAACTACTAAAATTTGGGGAAACATCTTTTTTTCTTTGAAGAACCAGGGTTGATTCTGCCTTAAAATCATGGATGCTGTACATAAGGTAGCCTAATTTTAAAAGTGATTTCTAGACCTGGAAAAGTAACAAATAAATAAAATCTTATAACTCCTTGCCCATTTTTATAATGAATATACATTTTTATCTTAATCTTTATCCAGTAATTCACAAACAAACAACTGGAAAAATTTGCCAGTTTATTAGAAAATTATTGAATATTAGAATGTTAGAAAAGAAGACATTTAGAACCCACTGTTTTTTCATTCATTCTCAAATGAAGGTCTGCATTCGAGAAAGGAAATGAAGAGCACATTTAAGATTACTCGTACAATACTCTTGATCACCAAACCAATGCGTTTTGAGACTAGATTATTCTTAATTACTTTGCGTGTAAATCTGCATCTACCTGGGTATCCAGCTTGCTGAGCTACCTCGTTAAACAGGTTACTAGCCTTCCAGTGCAGTGACCAATCCATTAGCAGAGCAGCTGTATTTGTGCATAAATTTAAAAAAGCACTTTTTAGCATTTGCAATAAAACATATTACCCTTTAAATTTCAACATTATGACAGAGACCAGTTGAGGAAGCCATTTAAACCGTTTTCAGACATGGTCAGCGACAGCCATTTAGTTCAGTATCCTACAAATAGTTCAGAACCATGGAATATATATAAATCTATATACATATTCATATACAGGAATGCCCCACTCTTTTCCATGGTGCTTTTGTAGTGGGGTCATTGTTTGCACTGCATTCCAGTATTCTATCTTAGATTACCCTCATAATCGATATGTAGTCTCTCATTTGCACACTAGGCTAGAGCGTTCTCTCTCTATGTTTTGAATATTACCGAAAATCATATTTTTTTGTGTCATATTTCTGTAACTGGACCAAAGGTTCAACGTTAGAGTATCAGTCTTTATTTGGGTGATATTCACCTCAACGAACAAGAAAATATGCAGATTTGTTTGTTATCGTTGTTTGCAAATTTATTCGGTCGTGAGTGACCTAGAGTTTTTCCTCTTTTTTTTTTTTGAGGGTTGGGAACAGCAGAGAAGGTCTTAAACTGATCCAGCCTTAGGTATCCAAACTCACCCTCACTGATCTAAGATCAGGCTGCTATCACATTCGTCTTAAAGATTACAAAGATCAAATTGGAACTAATTTAAAGTCAAAGATCTGAGGTGCGTCCCAAATCGCGTACTTATGCACTATTCTATGATGTTTTGTAGTATAAATAGTACGAGTAGTGCGTTCACACTCAAAATTCCAAAAAGAAAAAGTGCACTTTAAATACCCGGATGATGCACTTAAATAACCGAAATAACGAAGTGTGGAATGTTGAACACTTCATGCACTCAACTGTCACAGCTTTAATTACATAGTGAAGGGGGAGGGGCTATCAGACTCCTTTTATGAATGACAAACTAACCTTATATAATTCATACACTACACGGTTGAGTACATAGTGCATAAGTACATAGTGTATAAGTGCATAGTGTATAGTGCGTCATTTGGGATGCAGCTCTGGAGTGGTTTTTAACGCCGCGCGACCCAGAGGAGCAAAGCGCTAGTAGGACTTTCATGTGAAGTTTGAGATCGGAGAGCCTTTCACTCACTTATTCACACAGACACACACCTGATATTTGTGCCAAACACAAACGTCCAACTTGAAGTATTTTTCGCCAATTAAGAAAAACTACCTTACGGGGACCAGAGTTGGTCTTTGGCTATGAACTGTCTTCAACGGGTTTTGAAGTATGCCATTATCAAAGCAATGATGACAATGGAGAAACACGAGGATGAAGACAATCCATCGGAACAGTGGTACTCACTCTCTGCGACTAGTTTTCGTCTTCGTCCACATTTCCAACGAGCCCTGTAAATACTTTCCCATGTGTAATTCCAACTTCAAGTATTATTTTACATCATCCTGTGTGATGCACTCTTGAAATGCAGTATTGTTATTTTTCAATTGCGTGAAGAAGGTTGACAGGCACTATAGCGATGGTACTTTCTGACTCGGTACAGTACAGAGAGGACGATGAGTAGCTTGGTTGGAGTCAGTACGATACCAAGAGCGTTCAGGAGGATCCGGAAACATCTTGATGACCTGCTTGAGCTGCCAACCACTCATCCTTTGTATTGATGGACTGGGGAAAATCTTGTGGGACAAGTGGCCCACTGGACAGTATTTGCATTCCCTGTCCCATCTAAGAACTTGAAGCTCCATGAAGACGAGAAGAAGGAATATATGAAGGAGTGAACAAAATAAAGAGTGGCCTTAGGAAAACATGACTTTTATATTCCCTCACTTTATAAACTGGCTTACGGCCAGAGGAGTGCGTGCAGATGTGTGTTTTTGTGTGTGCGATTGAGTGTGAGTGTGAGTATATGAAAATCTTTATGTAATCCGTTCATTTACTTCTCTCACGTTCCTGCTCCAAAACTTTTCTTCTGCTGGTAGGGGTGTATCCTGTATAATTGTGTCTTAGAAAATAAACGTTGACCTTACTGTACTGTTCTTGGTAGCTGAAAAACGTTTGACAGATGTACAACAAAAGTTATTGATTTTTTTTTTATTTCCCTTTGATTTTTTCCAGTATTTTTTAAAAATGTTATGTAATTATTTTTTCACAGTATATCAGAAATAAAAGCACTGTTTTTCTAAGAATCAATGAAGTATTGAATGTGTGGTTTATATATATATATATATATATATATATATATATACTGTATATACTGTATACACATACAAATATATTTATTGTTCATTCTTGAATTAGGGAAAATGTCTTCTAGAATTAGTTTAATTAAAAATTGGTGTCAGCAACAGTAAAATAGGAAGAAAAATAGAACATCATTGTTTATAGGAGCACATACAATTTTCATGAACGTAGTAATGTAAGCCCAATATTAATACTGTTTTTAAAGAAAGTTCCTTAAGGACCTGTCCACTACACATACACAAGAAATATAGTAAAAACCATATTATGAAATATTATTACAATTTAAAATAAATGTTTTCCTTTTAAAAACATGTTAAAATGTAATTTATTCCCGTCGTGCTAAAGCTGAATATGCAGCAATCTTCAATGCCACATGATCCTTCAAAAATTATTCTAATTCCTGGTGTTTTTGCTCAAGGAACATATTCAAGTTAAAACAGCTGTGCTGTGTTTTTGTGGAAACTATGATACATTTTTCAGGATTCTTTGAGTTCAAAATAACAGCATTTATTTGAAATAATAAATATATGTTGTAACGTGATAAATACACATTCTCTCCTGTAACTTTTGATCAATGCATCTTTGTTGAATAAGGTTAAGAATTTCTTCAAAAAAAATTTTTTTTTACTGACCCCAACCCTTTGAATATTGGTGTGTGTATAGAGCTGTCTGCAATAAATATATAATTACATACAACATTACACAGTATCTGCAATATACATAATTAACTACAAATATCACTAACATTCATACTAGTAAATGTATAAAAATGTACCATGCCAGTACCATGTTTACCACAGTATTTGTACTGCACTTGAAAAGCACGCTGTGACCGGATCACTGATTCAGTGAATTGAGCTGAAGAGTCGATTCGTGAATGAACACGATTTGTTTGATACATGGAACCGACTCAAAAGAACCATTCGCTCATGAACGTCAAAAAACAGCGATTCTTCAGAAAGATTGTTTGTGGATGATGGCTAAATATTTCACTTTAAAACAACTATTTCCACATTGGAAGCGGCATCTATCAATAAAACTATAACTGCTGAGTCGACTGACAGACACCTAGTGGCTGTTTGTGCGTAGTTACTTATAATACATATAATACTCAGCTGAACCTTGAGTTTAAACCTCCTACAGGCAGGTGGCGCCAGAGCAGCAGTAAAACAATCCAGCGTAAAGACTTCTCCACAGAAGCAGCAGCCAGGGTGACAGAAGGGGAAGATGGCGGCGACAATGCTGAGGTCGCTCTCCAGACTCGGACGTCCTTCAGTCATATTAAACAGTAATGTCAGCACTCCAGCCTGTGCTGTGCTTCAGAAGAGGTACACACATTATAGTCGTCAATGCTGTGTAGTTAATAAATGGCTCTAGTTAGTTAGCGGCTTGCTAGTGGCAGTGTTATTGGGATTAGGTAACCAGTGTTTTTTTTTTTAACAAGCATAGAAATGTACAGTATTACTAAACTATCCTTTTCAAATTCTAATTATTGCACGACAATATTTGTTCATCTTGTCCCTCTCCACCAGAGTTTTGATGAACTGCCTAAAAAGAGCATGAAGCTGGTTGAGATGTGAAACATTAGCAGTAAAGAAACAATTAACAATTTCACTTATATATCATGGATTTAAAATAGACTTGTTTTGAAATTTCCACCAAGGCAAACATCTCAACATCTGTAGATAAAGTGGGCCAGAAAAAGTTCTGAAGCCACACATTAAATGTATAAATGTCATTGCATTAAATAACAAAATATCAAACCAAGAAATACAGCACAAGCACCATTTTCTAGTAAGCATTTCAATCGAACATGTTTTGTTGGTGGTGTTTGAAACAATTAATATAGAGTTAATTTTTAAATTAACTTTTTAAAGTCATTCTTAAAGCTGCAGTTCGTAAGTTTTGCCTCATTGTCGCCATCTCTGTTTGAAAACCTGCAATTGTAGCTGTTTGCAGAATTATCTTCCTTGCGTGGGTTGTGCTCCAGCACGGATGAATTAGTGATGGGAAGTCCGGCTCTTTTCAAAGATTCGGTTCTTTTGGCTCGGCTCCCTTAGGAGACCCGGCTCTTACTGCTCCCAAATGGCTCTTCATTTAGTATCACTCTGAGCCTTCTATTTGAGCCCAATTTAGAAATTGTGAATGGTTTGTGTGTTTTATTCAGTTTTCGTTACAAAAAATACAGTTACTATTATTTAACATTTTAATAAAATAAAATTGAACAATTGAACACAGAACCACAGCAAACAAATCAAATAAATAAATGCAAAAGTCTTAACATTAAGACACTTTAGTCTTTAGTGCAGCTTAGGTGTGCTGATGTGATTTCTCCTCTCTGTGATTATTTGTCCTGTTTTTGAGAAGAATCTCTCCTCAGGGGACCGATGTTGCAACAATAGGGCCTTTCGCACTGCAGGAACCTTTTCATAGTACCAGAACTAATTGTGGAACTACCCACTTTTTGGCGTTTTCGCACCGCCGGAACTGAGTGCGATTTTAGTACCGGACTGCCTTTTTCGAGAACCAAATTAGCTCCTACTCCGGAGCAGGGTCTAACCAGCACAACTGGTACTAATCGTGACGTAAGTAGACATTGATTGGCCAAACGCGTACGAAAACGCCCTCACCCGCCATGATTTAAAACTGTGTAGTTAATAAATGGCTCTAGTTAGTTAGCGGCTTGCTAGTGGCAGTGTTATTGGGATTAGGTAACCAGTGTTTTTTTTTTTTAACAAGCATAGAAATGTACAGTATTACTAAACTATCCTTTTCAAATTCTAATTATTGCACGACAATATTTGTTCATCTTGTCCCTCTCCACCAGAGTTTTGATGAACTGCCTAAAAAGAGCATGAAGCTGGTTGAGATGTGAAACATTAGCAGTAAAGAAACAATTAACAATTTCACTTATATATCATGGATTTAAAATAGACTTGTTTTGAAATTTCCACCAAGGCAAACATCTCAACATCTGTAGATAAAGTGGGCCAGAAAAAGTTCTGAAGCCACACATTAAATGTATAAATGTCATTGCATTAAATAACAAAATATCAAACCAAGAAATACAGCACAAGCACCATTTTCTAGTAAGCATTTCAATCGAACATGTTTTGTTGGTGGTGTTTGAAACAATTAATATAGAGTTAATTTTTAAATTAACTTTTTAAAGTCATTCTTAAAGCTGCAGTTCGTAAGTTTTGCCTCATTGTCGCCATCTCTGTTTGAAAACCTGCAATTGTAGCTGTTTGCAGAATTATCTTCCTTGCGTGGGTTGTGCTCCAGCACGGATGAATTAGTGATGGGAAGTCCGGCTCTTTTCAAAGATTCGGTTCTTTTGGCTCGGCTCCCTTAGGAGACCCGGCTCTTACTGCTCCCAAATGGCTCTTCATTTAGTATCACTCTGAGCCTTCTATTTGAGCCCAATTTAGAAATTGTGAATGGTTTGTGTGTTTTATTCAGTTTTCGTTACAAAAAATACAGTTACTATTATTTAACATTTTAATAAAATAAAATTGAACAATTGAACACAGAACCACAGCAAACAAATCAAATAAATAAATGCAAAAGTCTTAACATTAAGACACTTTAGTCTTTAGTGCAGCTTAGGTGTGCTGATGTGATTTCTCCTCTCTGTGATTATTTGTCCTGTTTTTGAGAAGAATCTCTCCTCAGGGGACCGATGTTGCAACAATAGGGCCTTTCGCACTGCAGGAACCTTTTCATAGTACCAGAACTCATTGTGGAACTACCCACTTTTTGGCGTTTTCGCACCGCCGGAACTGAGTGCGATTTTAGTACCGGACTGCCTTTTTCGAGAACCAAATTAGCTCCTACTCCGGAGCAGGGTCTAACCAGCACAACTGGTACTAATCGTGACGTAAGTAGACATTGATTGGCCAAACGCGTACGAAAACGCCCTCACCCGCCATGATTTAAAACTGTGTAAACATACTGTAAGCAGGTCAACTTATTTCTCAAGTATGGAGAACAGCGATCGATGGATGGCTGCTGAAGTGCAGGCACTTGCAGCAAATGTAGCACGGCCAGTTGTCGTTGGAGATTCTTAGTCCTCCTCTCCGTTCTTTCAGTCGTTTTACGTATACGTCGACTTTCCATGTCCATTATTGTGAAACCCGCGAGACACAACAAAAACCCCTCCGATCACAGCGTCCTCCATCCTCCTGTTGTTAACGTTGTTCTAATTTGTTTCTGTTGTTGAACGCCACGCACAAATGACGTCGCTGTCGACCGGTTTACGTCACTTATTAGTACACACTCTCGGTGCGAATGCAACCCTTTAAATGGTACTGGGAAATAGTTCGCGCAAAATCGTCCCAGTACTTTAGTACCATACGTTTAGTTCTGGAACTAAAGCGGTGTGAAAGGGCCTAATAGGGCCTTTCACACCGCGGGAACCTTTTCATAGTACCAGAACTAATTGTGGAACTACCCAATTTTCGGCGTGTTCGCACCGCCAGAACTGGGTGCAATTTTAGTACCGATTGCCTTTTTCGAGAACCAAATTAGCTCCTACTCCGGAGCAGGGTCTAACCAGTACTTTAGTACTGTACATTTAGTTCTGGAACTAAAGCGGGGCGAAAGGCCCTATTGCAGTGTCTTCCTACCTTAACCAACACGCTTGCGTTTAAAGGGGTCATCGGATGCAAAATTCACTTTACAAGTTGTTTGAACATAAATATGTGTTGGAAGTGTGTGTACACATCCATCATATAATGATAAAAATCCCCCCAGTGTTTTTTTTTTTTTTTTAAATCTCTTTTTTAAAATCCCCTTTCTCAAATCAGGCTGTTCTGAGATTCCTGTCAGAATGACGTAGATCTGCACAGGCCCCTCCCACGATAGTTGATTGACAAGTCTGTCTTACCTTAGACCTGCCTTGAGTGAGCTGAGAGCTGTCCGCCGTTGTGTGAGAAGGGTGTTCCTGCACAACCGGAGGCTGCAGTTTCAGGACCGTAGTTCTAGGACCCTATTCTTTTGTAACAGCGCCACCTACCGAATTGGATAATATAGCGGAGGCTGCAGTTTCAGGACCGCATTTCTGGGACCCTGGTGGTTTAGTTTGTAGTAATGTTTGTACATGTTGTTAAAGATATTGAATCTCAGGAACATTTTTTTTTTATTATTTCAATTCTGATTTTTGATTTATAAATGCATCAGATGTTAATTACAAAGTGTGTAATACCTGCTTTGAGTTAACAAGTTTAAATTTAAATGAATTTACACTTAAAATATAAATGAAAAAATGTATTTGTCTTTAAACAACTGAAAAAGTAGAGTAACTTAAGTCTTAGTTTCTTGAAATATACTGTATATTGATTAGCTCCCTTAAGTTTAACTAATTAGCTCATTATCAGGTATAATAAAGATGGAATCAAATGAAATCAGCATTTGCAGTCACTAAATTACAGCCAGATATTTAAAAGTTTGTAGAGAGGCAAGACACAAGACTCAAGAATGATTCAAGAATGCATATTTATATACTGTATATAATCATTTTTGCAATAACACATAATACAACATCATAAAAAAGACCCCCTTTTCCATCAGTTGCTGCATGGACAGAAAG